CAACCATGTGACCTACTACCTCGAACGTAGTTGCGCTGAAGCCCCATCCCGGGGAGCTACGGTCATTAGAAAGTAATACTATATGGAGAAGCCCGACATAGATCGGGTACAAGAACCCTCCCTCCGTGCTGAGTATATTTCACTCCCACCCAGACTACTCAAGTCTTGTGCCACAGAAAGTGTTGTGAACAATGTGTCGCAAAAGTAAAGTCGCCAACAATATACTCTACACCTGGGATAAAAGAAGTCAATAACTACTAACAAAGAATTAATCGATAGCCTCTGGTAACCACAATGAAGGTAAATCCGGGGACAGAGCTGGATAGACTACGCCAGTCAGCTCGAAAATTACCCAACCTCCTGCTGGTGATTATAGTGACGTTACTCCTCCAGCGCCCACCGGAGCTGTATTTTGTCTCATCCGAGATGCTGGGACCGCTGGGGGCGATCCAGAGGATGAATCCGAAATCGGCGGGCTTGGCTCGTTCGCAGAGATAGACTTAGAATGGTGAAGAGAGTCGGGTCTGATAAGTTTACCTGAACACACATCGGTAAAATTCAAATGAACTGAGCTCTCAGCGATCAATGCTTTGTCTATACGCACCTATGAACCTTCCTTTCCCCGTCGTCGCATCATCGGCGTCATCGATTACCCCACTAGACTTCAACTTCAGCTCAGCCCTGACAGCAACCAGAACTAGAGAATTTACTAATCAGAAGTTCCTAAGCCGGCTACTATTCAATAAGCTAACTAGTCTCAGAGACCCTTTACTACAACATATGGTATTCCTCTCCGCAAATATAGCACGGCTTCCCGGACAACACAAGATCTTTGGCACATCCTTGGCAGAGACCCCCATGGCCACAGGGCAGAAGCACCTGATCACATACCAAGCTTCGCACGATTCAAGGTATCATTAACAATGTGTGTAATATTATTATGGGGCTAAAACCTACAATTATACGTATTCATATCTATCACTCTATGTACATATAATACTTGATTATTAAATAAGGTATAATGAAACCTTTGTATTGTGTGCCCAGCCAACTGCACAACATGGGTTACCCAGTATTACTATTGTAGCAGGATCATCGAAACAAACCTTGCAAGTTCCGTCGTCCTCATCGTTGGCCAGATCGTCGAGATCAAGCGAAGACTTGCTTGCGCCCACCTGAGAACTTTCACAATACACAGCTCGATCGGAGACCTATACATCTGCTGATATATTCACGTTCAATTCATCTAACACGACTAGTGACTTTGAAAATGAAGGGCAACCTAAACCCGAATGGAGGTCTTACTGGTATCGCATCCTTCGCACTGCGCACACGGAAGAAAGTAGAGGTCATCCTGAAGCGCGGAAACGATAGTGTCCTTGTATTACCAACGAGCAACTACCTTTTTATCTTAAAGGTCTGAGATTGAGCACGCCTCATCGCTGAAAGACGTTCTCTGCGTTGCATCTCCTCAAGACTCAGCGGGGGAGGCGCCTGTGAAACAGATCCAATCAAAACCACTTCGCGCATCTTTTGGTCTACCTCGGAGTTCCTCAGTGATTCTTCCATGTTCGGGTCATCAATGTCTGGGTCCCTTTGGGGGTTGTCGAGATCAGGGAAAGCGGCGCGGACACACTCACGACAAACGAAGTCCTCAACATGGTCCATCAGCTCCGGAGGTACGCGCCTGAACATACGAGTCGAGTGACCATGAAAGAACAACACAATAAAGAACAATGGTACAAAAAGATTGCGGAGGATACCACAAGCTATCGTGTAGCTGATATGTATCATAGATGATAATCATTGGTGACAAGCGAGCCCGCCATAGAAGCATGCGCGAATCCACCGACATTTTCCGACGAATTGCGTCTGCAATACGGTACGAACATTTCTTGAAGAAGTTCCGTTTAACCAAATCTCAATGATGAGAATTTCAATCCTCCCGAGAGCGACTATATTCACTTACGAGTGATATCAGAGAAAAA